TCTCCGTAGGCGGCCCTGGTTTGGCGGGAACGGAGCAGGACCTTGGTCATGAGAAATGACCAGGGGGCAGCACCATCTTCTGAGACAGCTGCCCTCGCTGCCCTCGGTCACAGAGAGCAGACGCCGGGCCAGGGCGCCTTCCCCACACGGTCCTCAGTCCTCGTTCTGGCCCCAGGTGAGGAACCAGAAAGTGCCTCTGTGCGGCTATTTCACAAATAATACCCTCACAGTAACAATGTTAGTGGCTAAAAGAAGTGCCAGTTTTCTTAATAAAGTAGGTAATTTAAAATGCAAGCATATACATTTTCCCTTACGGGACTTCAGAAGCTTTTTTTTTTTTTTTTGCTTTTGCTTTGAACCAAAAACACAGAAGCTGGAAACATTTGTTTTTTTCTTAAATTGGCACTTATGGTAAAAAAAAAAAAAAAGGGCATCGCACCGTTCCTATAACTGCAGTGGTCTTTCCACAGCCAGCGGGACACTGGGCAGTATTTGGGGACACATTGGACCAACATGGCTCATCGTGAGGAAGCCACAGGCCCGTGGGCAGAGGCCACAGATGACGCTCACCATCCTGCAGTGCACAGGACAGTTCTAACCCTAACTCTAATCCTAACCTGACGACACAGGATGACCTGCCACCAAGTGTCAATAGTGCCGGGGCTGGAAAACCCTGCTCTGGAAGAATCTAAATCGTGTGTCTTTGGTGAATGACTTAGACGGCTTGGGGCTGGCCCTCCCGAGAGTTGGTTTCATTGATCTGTGTCTTGGCCTCAAGCCTTCAATTCATACTGAGCGGAAAAGCAGCCTTCTGGGGTTTGCATGATCGTATCTGTTAGGAGACTGAGACCGTAGTTGAAGACATGGCCTGGAACCCCAGCCCTACCCCCTCCAAAGAGCTCACAAGAATCCCTCTCCGACCGCAGTGTCCGAAAAAGCTGAGCTGCTTCTGGGACCCTTTCAACCTTGTGGACATTGCGAGTCTCATAACAGGTGGGTTTCCCTTTTTGCTTTGACCGATAGGAAGCTCAGAGTCCAGTTTTCAGCCCGCTTGAGATGGCAGAGGCCCACTCTCATACACATAATACAAGCTGGAAACAATTTCCCCGAGCACACCCCGGCCAGCAGGTCCGTCCGCTGGTCTGAACACTGGTAACAGTGCATGTGCCATTCCCTTAGTTCTTTTGTGTTTGTTCCGGCCTTGTTTTCCCTCTGATCTATTTTTATCCTATTGTAATGTGCGTGTTTTTGTAAGCTGCCTCCTATCCTTTTTGGAACAAAGCAGGGCATAAAAACAAAACAAAATTCAGCAGGGGCGTGTGGCCTTGAGGGGTACTTTTTAACATGCCAAGTCATTTAAGGGTTGGAGTCCTGCCGGGAAGGTGGCTCTCCTTGGCTCCTCCTGTCCCCTCCTGGGAGCCTCGTCCTGGATAACAGCAGCTCGGTGAGTTAGAGCAACAGGTTTTAGAGGCAAAGCCCCCAGCGTCCATCTGCCTGCAAATACCTTCCCTCTCCCCAAAATGTTCTTTCCAATCTCCCATCTGGCTGCTGGCAGGAGGCCACAGGGCCTAGAGGAGACAGCAAAGGGGAAGCAGACGAACTGTCTTGTTTTTATTCCTAACTTTTTTCCTTTCCTGCATCTTCAGTCAAGGTCTGGGGGCCAGAGTCTTTGCGTGCTGGTGACCATGGCAAGGGAGGGGCCGTGCCAAGGAGGCCCTGCCCGAGTGTGGAGGAAGCCAAGTGCTTGGGGGAGCCTAAGCCAGGGAGGGGTGGGGCGTGCAGGACACCACCCCATCCCAGCCCCACTGGCCACCCCAACCACCTACCACACACCCAGCTCAATGAGCAGCTGCACCCCATACTGCTCATGGGCTCAAAGCCAGCCCAGTCCCTTTTGCAATCTCTGCTCTGTTGTACTTGTGGGACTTTGGCCAGCGTCTTCTTCCAGGCTCTATAAAATGGGGGTGGAGGGTGGTGAACCAGACCCTCAAATTTAAAGATCTTGAGAATCCGCTGTCTTTGTGTGTTTGGGTGCTCCCTATTCCTTTTGTCACTTTCTCCTGGAAAAACGGCAAACCCTGGTAAAGAGGAGCGTGCGGCTTGGCGGGGCGGAGGCGGTGTGAGAACGGAGTCGAAGGTGAGCACCTTGGTGGACCACCCTGGGCACCAGTAGAACACACGCCCGAGGCCAAAGGCTTGAGAGGCTGGGGCCCAGCTGGAGCCCTGGCTCTGCCCAGCAGAGATGGAGCCAGCCGGTGACCCTGGGAATGGCAGGGCCAGCTCTGCCCAGTGCACTTGGCCTTTGTACTACCTGCAGGGCCCTTGGAACAAGGTGAATCAGCAGCAGCTGCTGAGAGAGGCTTGGAGCTCCCAGCACCTCACCTGCAGCAAGAAGCACCCATTTTCCATGGGTGCAGATCTGTCAGCTGGACACCTCTGCATTGTTCTGCCCACCAGGTCACTGGCCCGACCTGGTCATTCTGGGTCCCGAAGTAGCCCAGTGGTCCAGGGCCAGTTCCTTTACCTTGAGCTGCCTTAGTGTCCTCATCTGTAAAACAGGAGTGACAGGAATAGTATGGATCTCACATAGTGGTCACGAGAATTAAGTGAGGCCAACACAAAAATCAGGGCCTGGTGTGCGTCAACCCTCACAGGCAATGCAGCCATGATCATGGGCAGAGCAGCAGAGCCCATGGAGGGTGGGGAGCAGGGGGCAGCCCCGTGACGGCTGGACCAGGGCGGGAGACACGAAGGCATCTCGGGGTCATGACTGCAGCTTCACCGGGGCAGGAGGCTTGGGGTCCCTCACATTTTTGGAAAGGTTAGCTACGATCTGAATTAAAATTACTATGTCATTACCCAGAAGTAGTGCCTGGCTCCTGCTTTGAGTTGTAGGAGGTAGAGAGGGCCTACAGAACACCTTTAAAGTGAGGGGATGCGGGAGACCCCGGGTCTCTCCAGTGGACCTCAGAGACCAAAGGCGAGAAGGGACTCCCTGCCTACACCCCTATCCCGGGAAGCTCTGACTCGGCCGGTTACGTATCAGGCTTCAACCAAGAACCTTGTTGCCAGTAACACTTCTGGGAAAAAGTTGGGAACAACCAAGCTAGTGCCAAATTTTAAAGATGGAGAAATGGAAGCCGCCCAGAGAGGGAAGATAACTGGCGTGAGGCCACACAGCAAACCAAGATCAGAGTGCTACAGCTAGGCTAGGCTCGTCCTGCCTGGTTATCCCATACTTGTCTAGTGAGCCCGTGGAGCCCCTAGCCAGAATTCATGCTCCTAAAAGTGGGGGTCTAGCCAGATCTTTCTGCAGGCCCCTGGGTCTTCCCGAATGGCCAGCAGTTCATCAAGTTCTCCATCCAAAAAGCAAGTCTGGGGCTCCAGGTGCCTGGCTTCTCCCAGACCCTCAAGAATCCTGTGAGAGTGGTTGTCGGCGGAGTAGGGGTTTACACTGTCTGGGAAGCACAGCCCCCCTCCGGTGCTTTCCCACACCTGTCTGGGCTGTGCTGGCCACTGCACTTACTCTGCAGTGGCCTCTGGACCTGGGCTGCGGCCCCCAGGGCCTGTCCGTCCTGCTGGGCTGGGGATGTGAACCCCAGTCCCGCCCCCTCACCTCCCTCTGGGCCACCACACCTTTGGCTCCAGCCTTGTCCCTCATTAGCTCTAATGAGCCAGTCTAGGGACAGAGGGATAGTTTAATTACGCTTCTAATTGCCTCCCAGGGAAAAGATGAGTACAGCCCAAATTTTTCTGTAGGTCCTGGGGACAGGGACGGGGTTTCCAGAACTCAGCCACACTGGGCTCCACATGGAGCGGAGGGTGGGTGAGGCGCTTCAGCTAGCAGAGCCAGCAGGGAAGGTGGGGGCAGGAGACAGGTGGGGGAGTCACCTGGTCCCCACCCAGGGCAGACACACCCCTGACCTCACTTTACCAAGTAATGACCCTTCGAGGTGCCTGTGAGTGATGAGGCCAAAGCATTTTGAATCAGTAATGTTCTGACTCTTACTGTTTGGTGACTTGTGGAAAGTGGCCATGTGGCCTCTCGGCACGTAAAATGGGGACACCAGCGTCCACCTCACTGGCCTGTGTGGCGGAACAGGAACGTGTCACCTGCATGTTGACTTGCCAGGTCAAATGGCACAGAAGGCACGTGCTACGTCCCAGTGGAGATGGACCCTGCACCTGTAGGCACCTGCAGCCCGTGGGAACACGGCCCCGTCGGGGGCTATGTCTGCAGCCCAGCCCCGTGGGAGCGGCAGGATCCCTCTCAGCAGGTGAGGAGAGTGAGGCACAAGACAGCTAAGTGACAAGTGCCCGAGGGCCCCGACAGATCAGATGGATAAGTGGCAGTGGGGACAACAAAACCCCAGAGCCCCTGAGGTCTGCCCAGGCCGAGGGTGGAGAGCCCCACAGGAGGTGAGGGCTCCACAGCGACTTAGAGAGAAGCCACCTCAGGCCACCGAGTGCCACAGGGACACAGGCAGCCCCAGGACCCCAGTGCACACCCTCACTCCTACCCGCCCACGCCCCGACAAGAACCCTCCCCAGAAGCAGAGAGGACACCAGACATGCAAAAGGGCTTTTTTTCTCTTTTTTTACTGTTGCTTCGCTCTTTTAACAATATCATGGAAAAAATATACAGCTATACAGCTCAGAATCTGGAACTGGCCACCGGCTGCATGGGTGTGGGGGGCGGCCGTGGGGGCTGCACTACTGGCACCGAGCACCCACGTGGTGCTTGCACCGAAATGAGGAACGAACTTCGGTCTGAGTCAGGATCTGGCGGCAAAGGGGCGGCCTGCAGGCAGCCACGCCTGGCGGGGTCCTGCGTCGTCAGCCCCTCCCCCACTGGCTACCAGGGGATGGGCAGAGGTGGGTCAGCCGGTTCCCAGGACAGAAGAACAATCACCAGTTTGCTCTGGGGCTCACACCCAAGCTCCCACTCAATCCCTGTGGGCAGGGTTATAGAGTACACAGTGATATTTGAATTTCAGAAGAACAACAAATAACTTTTTAATGTCAGTTACGGTCCATATACGGCAAAAGGGCATACTTATACTGAAAAATTATCCTTTGTATACCTGAAATTCTCATTAAGTCAACATTCTGGTTTCTTTTGTTGCTAAACCTGGTAGCCGTGTACCTAGACCCTCTGGGCTCTCGCCTCAGAAGGCAGGGAGTGGGCCGAGCTGGCAGAGAGGCCTGGGAAAGGAAGGAGTACTGGGGGTGGGGGGGTGTCGAGGGGGGGCATAACTCAGTCCAAAAAACAAAAAGAGCTTTTATCCCCCACAGGAAAGATATATTACTTTAAACAAGTCATTTTCCAGAAATACTCTCCTGGCCTTCGGCGGCTAACAGCTATGGGTGGGGTGTGTGTGGGGGACACATCCAGGGACGCCTACTCCATACAATTCTGAATGAGAGTTGGGAAGCACTGAGTATAAAGGTGTCTCCCAGGAGTCGATGTTCCTTCTGGTGGCTGACCTGCTAACACTGTTCCCGATACTGTTCTAGAAAGACTTACACATGACGGGGAAGAAAAAAACAAACCCACTGAGGCTGAGTGACGCCTACAGCCCGGTCCTGTGTCTTCACCCTGCCGGGGCTCCATCTTGAAAACTGAAGCCCAGGGCCCTCCCTCCCACTCCCCACTCTGTTCTTTTCCCCTGGAAGGGGCTGCGTTTAGTGTTCATGTTCGCTCCGGCTTTACTCCAAGAGGCTCCAGGCTTCCAGGTGCGTGAATCAGGCAGGGGAGGGAGGAGCGGGGACACGTGTCCACCCCCTTCCTCCTGTGACACACATTTTTATCCAGGAAGTCACTGCCAGGTCACAGCAGGAACTCCGGGAGAGAGGAGAGCCCGTGTCCCCCAGCCCTGGCACCGAGGCTGCCGGGAGCTGACCTGCGTTGCTGTGGGGGCCGGGGCAGGAACTCAGGTTGACATCCGGCATCCATTTGAGGCCAAAGTGGAGAAAAGGAAATTGATCCCTGCTGTAAGAACATAGCCCCGTGCTACAGAGCTCAGGGAGGCCGGGGTGTGCCACAAAGCCAAACACCCAGGCTCGCTCCTCAAGTCCTCCACGGGCCCCCAGGCTCAGCCAACACCCCTCCTCCATGGGTCCCAGGCTCTTGGCTGCCCCTGAACAGGGAGGGGAAGGTGGTGGTGGGCTGGGGGCACGGAGATGAAGCCAAGAACGTGGAACCCTGCCTCCTCCCGCCTCACACTCGGATCTCGTCCTCCTCCTCTTCATCCATGAAGGAGAACTCCTTGTCCGGCTGCCTGGAGAGAGTGGCGCGGGCCCTGTCTGGCCCCCGGGAAGCAGGGCTGCGCTCTTCCAGGACGCTGGAGGTGCAGCTGGACAGGGAGCTGCTGTCCCGTGTGGTGTGGCTGCCCACGCTGCGAGCTGAGCCGGGGCTGGGGGCCGCTGCCGCCCACCCGTCGTCCTGCGGAGCCTGGGGCAGCGGGGGTGAGTCCTGGCCAGCTTTGCCTTCCTGCCTGGCTCGCAGAGGGGCCCCCGACACAGAAGCAGGAGCCTTGAGAAGACTGCCCAGGTCTTCGTCGCTGTGGTAACCGCCACCCTCCTCCTCTGGTTCCCACTCCTCCTTGTCCATGATGCTCAGGACGTCGCCCAGCATGGAGGGCCCCAGGTCAATGTGGAAGGACATGATGGACTCTGCGTGCTTCAGCCCGAAACTGGCCTTGGGCACGACGGGCAGGTCCATCAGGTCCCCGAAGGCCTTCTCCTCCAGGAGGAGGTCGGGGGAGTGTGGGCCCGTGGCCCCGTTCCGCCGCGGCACCTCCTCCACGCAAGCCCCCTCCAGGTCACCCTCCCCGCCATTCCCCTTCTTCACGGGGCTGGACGACAGGCTCTTGGGCAGCTTGCTGGAGCCCTTTTCAGCAGCTTCCTTCTCATTCAGCTGGGGCAGGGACATGGCGTTCTTGACAAATAGCGCTGAGTCCCGCAGCGAGCCCAGCATGTCCCTCTGCTCCCGGTCCCCCCTGGTCACTGACTGTGACCGCTTGCTGCCCCGAAACTTCCGGGACAGCAGGCTGCGTTTGGACGAAGAGGAGGAGGCAGGCTCATCCAGGGACTCACCGTCCGGCTCGCCAGCCTTGTTGTTGAGGAACGAGGTGTCTCCGAAGGCGTCCCCCGCCCGACCCACATGCATGGTGTGGCGGAAGTCGCCCAGTGGGGCACTGATCATCTCGGCTGTGAGGTCCACTCGGGAGCGGCGCTTGGAGTGCATGGAGCTGGACACCAGCTGCTTGAGGATGGGCATCTTGCCTCAGGGGAAGGGAGGCAGGGCCTCCCGAGACAGCGGGCAGGTCTGGAGTCAGATCTGAAGTCTGGCGGGTGGAAGGGGCGACGAGGAGGAGCTCAGAGAGCTGCAAGAAGAGAACAGCAGGAAAGGGTTAACCTGGGCTGGCCTCACACAGCACAAAAGCCCCATCTGCCTACAGGCTGTTATTCAAACCCCAGCTCCCACTGAAATGAAACAATATGAACCCAGCCAGCAGTCAATTTCATAACTGGGCCTCTTTCTTCATCCACAGGTTTCAGGTTAGGGGAGTGCTTCTTGCAAATCTGTTTGGCGTTCTAGGAGCCACAGACACAGACACACGTTCCCTGAAGCCTGAGAGAGAAAGAGATCTTTCTTCTGAAAGACAATAATGTCTCTCCACCCCTTCACACCTCCTCCCAACCAGGATGCTGCCAGAGTCAGCAGGACTACATTTAAGGAGGTGCGCGGGTGATTCCACAAAGCAGCGGAGGAAAGAGACTCCACATCTGACTTGACTCCTCTGAACAACTAGTCTGGAGACACGCTGGGAGTTCTTCCTGCTGTCTGACCTCAATCCCTGTGAAGTCACTGGACACTTCAACCTGAGTCATCGTCCTCAGAAGAGGGAGAGGATAGAATGGGCCCCGGGGAGATGCTGCCTGGCACCGCATCATTTGTGGGCGGCCCGGCTCACTTTCTGAATCAGAACTGGGGTGGGGCTGCTGGGATCCACACAACCGGCTCTGCAGCCCTCCTGTCACTTAAATGAGGGTCCTGCCTGTGACATCTCCATCGTGGGGCCCCAAGCTCCTTGTCAAGTATCCACCCCCTGCCCGCTGGGAAGATCGAGACTGGAGGACTGTCTCCTAATTTCTTTAATCGCTGGGGGTGCAAGAAGGCAGGGACTAACCCTAGGTGACCTAGGTCTCCTGGGCTCTGCAGACTCCCAGGTGACTGAAAGGCAAAGGGCCATCTGAATGCACGAGGCACCAAGCATGCAGCTCCTGGCAGGAAGTTGAAGTTCAGTGTTGGGGCCAAACCAGCCCCTTTCCCTCGGGAGTGACCTGCCCCACATGCTACACCCAGTAGCACAAGACTGAGCAGGGTGGGGAGGGATGGGTACAAAGACTTAACCAAGTATGGCGGGTGGGGGGTAGTGTGGGGCCCCCAGTCCTGCTAACAGCACTGTTCTCAACAGCACCCTCAATGTGGACCCAGACTTCCCGATGCAAAGCTCAACCTGTGGGTGCCCCACGCATTTCTTCCCCACCCCCAGCTATGCCACCACAACACACCCGGCCCCTGACATCAGCCCTCAGGTCTCCCTGCACCCCGTGTGCCTCTGCAGTCCATCCTTCACCTTCTAGTTAAAGCAAAACCCTCCTCAGACTCCCAGCTGTAGATCCCTTGGTCTGCGTGCCCACTCAATGCCACGCTTGCCGCTCCCCTATGCCCGCACTGTCCCAGCCCCAGGAGCGGACACTTGCAGTTCCCCACTGGAACACCCTGTCACCTGGCTCACCCAACATCCTTCGGGGCTCCGCTGAGATGTCACTGCTTCTGGGAGAAGGTCCTTAGCCGGGTCAAGTCCTGCCAGCTACCTCCTCTTCGCCAGCACTTTGGATGGCCCCTCTCCCAGCAGGCGCAGAGATATTTCTAGCCCTGCCGCTGGGCTGTCATTTTCCCACTGGACTAGGAGCTTCTGGAGCCTCCCGACGGGCCTGCTCACTGCTGGACCCCACCTGGCAGTGCAGGGCACAGTCGGTCTCCAACACCTGTGGAAAGGCCAATGCTTCTGGCCTCCCGCCCCCCAGCTTTTGCCTTCTCAAGGCCAGTGACAGTCCTGGCTTCATTTCTGCCTACAGCTTGGCTCCGGGGCTCGAGGCCTGACCTCTCCGTGTCCTCTAACCCCACTCCCACGCTCTCTTCTTTGACCAGCTGCTGAGGCCCAGCCTCTTGGCTCCCCCGCCAGGAAGTGCCCCTCCTCCCCCCAGGCAGCCACGCTGCTCCTCACTCCAGCAAACAGTTCTCTGGGCGGGTGGCAAGAGCCAGGCACCGGGGCAGCGCTGCCACACAGGTGACCTGGGCTGGGCTCAGAGCCCAGTAAGGACTGTCCTGGAAGGCCTTGAGATGACCCCTATGTCCGGCAGCTCTCCCTCCTCACCCTCTTCTTCCTCCCACCAAACCCTAGGAAATGTAGCCTCTCCTCGCCTCGCCTGAACCCTCTGCCCACACCATGGGATCTGACCTCTGAACCAGGGCTGTCCAACCCCCAACCTTTTTGTGTCTCTGGGCCACAATTCAGTACACAAACACTGATGAGCAAAACGAAGGCTTTAAGTAAACTTTCGATTTTGTGTTGGGCTGCATTCATAGCCATCCTGGGCCGCACGGGGGGCCCATGGGCTGTGGGTTGGACGCCCCTCTGCTAAACAATCAGGAACAGCTAAAGCAGGAATTAGCAAACATTTTCTACAGAGGGCCACACAGTCAAGATTTTCAGCCTTGTGGCTAAAAATGTCTTGGTCGCTCCTATGCAACTGTCTTTGCAGAAGGAAAACAGTGGTTGACTCCCTGTGAACAAATGGGCGTGGCTGCATCCCAATAAAACTTTATTTACAAAAACAAGTGGTGGGGGCCATGAAAAGCACTGGCCTTGGGGTCATGCCCTCACCACTGCCCCAGGTCCAGTGTTCTCCCTACCTGACCCTGGGTCTTTGGGAGGGGGCAGCACTGCCCAGTTGCCATGACCAATTGAGTAGCCCTCCCCACTTCTGGCTGGATAGGGGGGTAGGGGGGTGGTCCAGGGAAAGCGGAGCCTGGCTGCTCCCTGGAGAAAGTTCTAGTACAGCCCTAGAGCAGATTCCGACACTTCGAGCTAGATCTTCCTTCTCGGTGCGGGCTGTCCTGTGCACAGTAAGATGTTAAAAGACACCCCCGGCTTCTACCCACTTGATGCCAACGGCATCTCTTTCCCAGCTGTGACAACCAAAATGTCCCCAGAAATGCCAAGTGTCCTCTGGGGGCACCAGCACCCCTGGGTCAAGAACCACTGCCCAGAAGTGAGAACACACAGGTGACAATAAAGCAGGCAAACAATGGTAAACAAACATAAAGAAAAAGGGAGGGAGAGAGGGGGGAGGGGTCGTAAAGGGTCAGAATTGTGGGAACCTCAGTGACCTAAACGTTCACAGTTGTGCAAGGGTTTCGGTGTCTCGGTAGGAATCCCCAGACCCAGTAAGCAACTTCGAGCCTGTGGTTTCAGATCTTAAGTGTTGGAGAAATAAAGGGAAACCGCAGGCGCAGCTGCCCAGGGCTCAGTGGGGATGATGCAGACCCCTGCGGCCACCCACAGGGACTGGGTATCCTGGCCACAAGGCCACGGGACCGGAGGGTCCCAGCTCTCCCATTAACCTCTGCTTGTAGCATCCTCATGGGTGGGCTCTGCAGCAGTGACGGGGGCCAGCACGGGAACCCCAGACCAGCCCCGGGATCGCCAGGAGCCTGCGTGGCCCACTCCCCAAGAAGACAGAGACGGGCCTGGCCAGTGCTCTCTGCTGCCTGCGGTCTCGCTGCCTGGGGGTGAGAACCAGGCTCTGTGGCTTGTGAAAAGCCAAACCATCTTCAACATCCAGCATGAAAAGTTTCCAAGAGTTGGGGCCTAGAGAGAACTCACTCATGGGGTTGTTGTCAGTCCCGGGGTGACATCTTCACCAGAAGCATCTAACAGAACGATTTGGGGGCGAGGAGGGGGAACACGGTGTTCAAATGCAAGCAGGTGTTCCGGGCTGGCCCTGGGGCCAGTTCAGGAGGCCTGGGTGCCTACGCGGAAGGGGACCTGCCAAGGGAGCTGTGGCTTTGGGAGGGGGTGTTGCTAAGTGCCGTGACTCAGCTCTGGGGAAGTGGCTAAAATAGGCTTCAGAGGACAGGGCGGCCACTCCCCAGAGCCGGTCATGGGCGGGCGGGACAGGGACAACCCCCACCCCCACCCCCACCCTGGAAGCCACATCCCACTTTCCTGGCAGAGCCCAGCCCTCACAGCTCTCCCTGACTCTTCCAGCCTCTGGTGGAACCAGAGCCCCAACCCTGGGAGCCACTGACCACAGAACCTTCCTCCAAGGCCAAAGCAGCTGGAGTCCAGCCCCTGGTTGGTCTACACTCTCAGCTCAGCTAGGCTCCAATCTGATCCTGGGACTACAGGGACTTACTTGTCTCCCAGATCGGTGACTGAACAGACAGTCCAGAGTCCCAGGCAGTGCCCTGTCCCTGGCGGCCTGGCCCCAGCAGGACACAGACCTCGCCCTGGTACAGAGTCCGAATGCTTCTGCACTCAGCGCCACTGTGCAGCCCTCTCCGTGGTTTCCCGATGTTCTGACCATCTACCCACTACCAGCACCAAGCAACACGGCTGGACAGAGGGGGCACTGGGCACGACTCCATCCAGGGCTTGGAATGACTGCCAGAGGTTTCATGTCTTTCTCTGTCTCTCTTTCATTCTTTCTTTTCCTGTCCCCCCTCTCTGATTACCGCGTGCCCACCAATTCCCCCACACTCTTCTGGGCCTGGGAGACAGAGCAGGGAAAACAAGGAGGCCACGCCCCTGCCTCCCTGGCACACTTACTGGGTGAGTGTGGGTGTGTGGGGAGCCAGGCTGTAAACAGGTAAATAAAACAGTGCCTTGCTGTCCTCACTGTCAAGAGGGAAACCAGGTGAGAGAATGTACAGGGTCCTGGAGGCCCCACCCTGCCCCCAAAGAAGGGGCACTGTGAGCTGAGAACTGAATGATGAAAAGTAACCAGGTCCATCAAGAACACTCTGGCGGAAGGAGCGGCGTAGGCAAAGGCTCAGAGGTAGGAGCAAGCTTGTGATGTTTGAGGAACAGAATGAAAACCCAGGGCCCTCTCTGTGAGACCTGGCAGGGTTTGGATGGCGTTCTAGGTGCGCAGGGCAACCCGTAGCAGCTTCTAAGCAGGCAAGTCATCCAATCTCCTTAAGTTCCCACGGCAGCTGGCCTTGGAGGCACTAAGGAGGAGGAGGAGGAGGAATTCAGGGCAAAGAGGAAAGAGGCCAGGACACGGGGGCAACTAAGGAGCCGGACCAAGGGGGCCTCATTCAGGGCATGTTTTGAAGGTAGAGACACCAGGAGCTGTTGAAGGCAGATGGAGGAGGAGAGAAGGACCGAGTTTAGGGGACCCCAAGCCACTTTGAACCCCAGGAGTCCTTTCCACGGGTAGGTCTCACCAGGTGGGCCTTCTCTCCGGGGCACAACCAACAGGCCCCACGAGGTAGACCTTAACGTTGCCGGAACGGGGGAGGTGTTCTGCTACAAGTCTGTCAGCGGGGACGGCTTGCTAAGGGGGCTGTGCAGGAAACTCAGTGTAACACAGGCCATGACTCTCTAAGAGCTGAGGGACTCGGGCTCTAGTCACAGGAGGAAGAGGCAGTGCTTTCTAGAAAGCTCTCCAGCCTTACCCTGTGAAGATAAGGAGTCCTGGGGAAGGCGGGGGCCTGTTTTATTCCTCCAGCAGCAGACAGTGCCCACAGGCGGATGTGACCAGGAGGAACTGAGAAGCCCCGATCCACAACCTGCGTCTCGCTGGAGGGACCTTGCTCGGTGGGCTGCGCCGTGGTTCCAGCTGACTGCAGTACACTCAGAGTCTTTTAGCTCCTACACAGGTTCTGCTGAAAGCCCTCGTATTTGAAAGTGTCCGTTTGTGCCAGGAGGATAAAAAAAAAAGCCCTCTCTTAAAATCATCTGTGCCCAAACAACCACAGTTATTTTTAAAAGCCCAGGGTAAGAACACGAGCGATCACCATCCTAACTCCTGTCCCCCGTGTATTCACGTCCATATCCCCTTATGAACTGGCTGTGGAGAGACCGTGTTCTCAGAGATGAGAGACAAATGAAGGGACATGCCCTAGGTCATGGGCGGAAGCCAAAGCTGCATTCCCGCCTCAAGGCTCTAGCCTCTCAAACAGCCACAGTACACAAAAACACAGAACACGTAATCTGTGTGTGTATACATACATCCTTACACACAAACACATCGATACATGTTTATTTTTCTAGGCTACACACATGTCTATTATCATTCCATGCATTAATTAGGAAGTCTTAGTTCCCCTTTAAAAAAATTGTTTTAAACAGCACACATAGAAGTTCTGCTGTTTTCTTCCCACACCCCAGTGGATTTCCTCGCACACCCTGGGGCTGCTAAAACACAGCTCCCAGCATTACGGGACTCCCACCTCGGCGTCCATGATGCCTACAACTTTCCATTCCCAAGACGGCGAGAGGGAGGACAGAGACACCCTGCAGACTGTCCAACTGCTGGGGCCGGGGGGAAAAACTGGCCTGAGGGCTTGGGGCTGGTGAGGGACCAGGCGGCACTCTAGCCCAGGTCTCCTGCTTCCCCATCTAAAGGTCTTTCCCAGGTAACACTGGGGCCGACTCACAGCCAGGCCCCAGGCTAGACCTTTCTGGAGTCTGTTGCCATCTGAAACAAGTGTGATTCCACAGCCTCCACGGTGGGAAACCTGCTCTAGTAAGTCCTTTATTAAAGTTACCAACACAGACATTTGCCGAAGCCTTATTCGTAATAGCAAGAGGACTGGACACAACCTAATGTCCCACAATAGGAGAAGGCTGAGAACTTTATAAGCCGTGCACTGAACAGGTCGTCACACAGGCATGAAAAGTGGGGGCTATGCAGACCACACTGCAGCCTGGAAAATTCTTCCTCTGGCAGCGCAGAGAGGAGGGGAAGAGGCAGGACTAGCACTGTTCGCGCAGCGAGCGACTCCGCGCCCATGCGCACTGGGGACTGAAGGTATAAAGGGCACCGGAGAGACTCAGGAGTGATGTCAGGCTTCAGAGGAAGAAAACAGGCTTTTGAAGAAGACGTTTCCTTTAATGTGGCAGTACTATTGTAATAATAACTTTAAAATCCCAACGCATCAAAGGCTTAAGGAAAATCTTCTAATTTCAAAACCAGCTTAAAACTATCTAGTTCTCAGAGCTCAGTATGAGGCAGCGAGTGGGGGCGGGGCAAGCAGGGGTGGAGGTCCATGCTCTCATTTGGAAAAACCTCCCCTTGAAGTCTGTTCTCTTTCTCCCTCTCTCCCCCAGAATCCACCCCCTTTGCCCCCCACTCTGCCAAGGCTGGACACGTTTATTACATTCTCATTTTTTTCTAAATGCTCTGTGCGAGGAGAAAGTGGGCAATCTCTAACAACCTGCTGTCAGGGAAAACAGGGAGCTTAAGACGCCCCCAAAAGAACTCGCTCCCCAACAGCTGCATCCTGGTGCTTGAGCCGCCTGGACTGAGCAGGAGCTGAGAGATAACGATCCACCCCAGCCCCACCCCTGAGACTGGCCAATTCCCTGTGACACCAAAGCTCTAAGCTGGAGGCCGGCCTCCCACACGCGTGACCCTGAACTGGGATCCTGTCTGAGAGACCCTGGGCAGGTGAAGGTTCTGCTTCTACAGACTCAGCTCAGGTCTGGTAGCTGCAGGGAGCAGAGGAAACAAGGACCGGTGTGGGTCCCAGCAGGACGGTCAGCGCCCCTTCCCCCCACCCTGCTTCAGTTGCTAGCCGACCACCCAGCCGCATGCAGGGGCTATGCTGTGAGCAGTTCCCCGTCACTGGGTGCCTGGTTCGTGCCAGGCACTGCGCTGGGACACCGTAAATGCACACCTCCCACTTTAAGGGAAGCAAAACTGAGGCTCAGAAGGCATGATTTCCCTTGCTCACTCTTATAGCTATGAAACGGAGATTTGAGCACATTTCTGTTGGACCTTGGAACACATGATTTGCTCTATGAGGTCACCCCTCCCTAGCCAGTCCATGGTCACACCAAAGATGTGCATACCGGGGGAGGGAGCGCTCCAGGCCTGGCTCACACGGCCCGTCCGACCTGGATCTCATCCCCACTTCCGGTTCTGATCCCCTGGGAGGTGAGAGGGGAAAACCACCCCGAAGCAGCACCAGGCCACGCCCACATATTTAGGAGTGCCCCCAACCCAAGGCCGCGATTCCGTGTTTTCTGTGCCTGTCCTGCTCCCAAAGGCAGTCTGTGTCCCTTGGTACTTCCAGCTGCCCAGAAGGAAGACCAGAACCCCGACCCATACTCTCTCCCCAAAGTCTTCCAACCTGGGTGCCCTGTGCGTGCTCCACCCTCCCTGCCTGCCAGCCAATCCAGACCAGGTCCATTGGCCCAAGGGTGCCACTGCCCAGCCACACTCGCGGGCACATCCCATTTCCTGGAGAAAAACACCCTCAGCTTTGGTCCTTCTTCCTGGAAGAAAAGGAAAATGAACAAGGCCTGGGTTTCACTACAGGCCCCCAACTGCTGCTAACATACATTTCTCAGCATTCTTGCAGGGAGGGAGGCAGGAGTGTTACCGGGGAGGGCGTGAACCTTCCCAGGTCATCAGGACACTGGGCTCTTGTTGAGCCGGGCTCACTGCTCAGGGACGAAGGTAGCGGTCCAGGCCACTTCTCAGCAACTTCCACTCTCTGCTGCCTCCCTAGGGGTTATGAAATAATTTACTACACCTACACTGTCAAGTACGGCAGCCACTGCCTTGTGTGGCTAATGATCAATCTGGTGAGTTCAAATTGACAGGTGCTGAAAGGGACACTCTGGCCTTCAAAGACTTTTAACAAAGAAGAGAATGGAAAATAGCTCGTTAGTATTTTTATATTGATTACGTGTTAAGATAACATCTGGAATAGAATGGGTTAAATAAAATGTTAACTTCACGTATTTGCTTTACCTTTTTAAAATGAAGCTATTAACAACGTCAGTTAACCCCTGACTGGCACGATGCTTCTATCGGAGAGTGCCGATTGAGGCATGTTTCCCTTTTACTGGACAAGCAGTGCTTTCCGCTGTCGATGAACCAAATAAAGGCAGCCATTGTTTACTTTTGGGTGAAAATATGAACATGTTAGTAAAATACGTTGCAGTATTTTAGATTAAATCCTGACTGCCTGTATTTCATATCCAGCAGGTCACTGATGAAGGCATGGTTGTTTCAGTTTTGTTTGAATTCTGTAACAAATACCTTTCCGGCGAGGTCTGCTCACTGCTCATGTCCTTAACTATTTCCGGAGGATGCAGACTTCCGAGTGAGTAAAACTACTTTTGTTTCTTATTGTTAACTTGTTCTCCAGAAGGTTTCACCAAGTCACAGTTCAACATGGGAGGACAGACTTAAAGACAGAACACAATCCCCACCGGGTACCCTCGCTTGGAATTTGCATCTCTATGATGGCCGACGAGGATGATGGAGTATTTTAGAAATTGTGTTATTGCCACACGTTTCCTTTCTCTTGTGAATCTCTTTTAAAGCCTCTTGCGCCTTTCTCTGGGCGGGGCCTCACCTTTTCCGATGGACGTGTATGGCTTTTTAAAATACTAAAGCTATTTAAATTTTTGACCCTAATACTGAGCAGATTTCCACAAACTTATCCTCCCCTTTACGGCATGGTGACTTTGTCGTTTTCTTTCGCAGAGAGGGCATTCATTTTTACATGGTCAAGTCTGTTTTATGGCTTCTGGCTTTAACATCTTGAAGCAAAGACACTCCTAATCCCAAGTTTATGGAAACATACACACTTCTAAAGCTATCGGGTAATTAAAAGCTACTCCAGGAAAAAAATCTAGAAGGAAATACACCAAACCAGAGATGCCTATGGCTTGTAAAATTACGGGTCACTTAAAATAGAAAAAAGAAAACTAAAGTGGAGCAATAATGTTACTGATTCCTTATAGAATGATATGAGTTAAGCATCGAATGCCACCTTCCCCAGATGTTAACGTCTTTATGTAACACAGATCCACGCACGCGTGTATTCCAGACCCCTTTTTCTGCTCATCCCTGTGCTAGGTCTGTGCTCTCTGTAAAATGTTTTGAGTATCCAATACGGTAATATCTCACCTTTAACTTATTTCTGAAATTGTCTTGGCTTTCCTAATGCAGCTAAGTCTTCCAGATAGACTTTCAAAACATTTTATTAAGTTCCAAAATAAATCATAATGGGAGTATATTGGAATTGAAAGGAAACGATAAATCACATGGGGGAGAACTGGCTTTATCACAACATCGAGTCCTTACACCCATCTATTCAGATGGTCTCCATTCATTTTGGTGACGGTCCCTCCTTCGAACCTTACATATTTCTTGTCATGTTTATTTGGGCATTTTATGGTCTCTTGTGAATGAATAGGTTTTGCATGCTCCCTATTGCTTATTTTATATAGGAATATTTTTAATAGCCACCTGACTAAACTTGTACTGTCTTATCTTCAATCAACTTTATAGTTGAATCATTTGGGCTTTACATCAGCTGCAACTAATAATAATTCTGCCCCTTCCACTCCTCAACCTTATCTTGTTCCTGGCATTTGCAGTGATACCCCAAACCAACCTCCGTCTACAGGACAGTAGCCACGAGCCACATGGGGCTTTCTGGGTACCTGAAAGGTACCATATAGCTAGTGGTACCATAGCTAGCTTTCTGGGTACCTGAAGGATATAGCCAGTGACACTAAGGAACTCAATTTTTTACTTATTTTAAATGTAAAAACTGGTCTGATTTAGTAAATGGAAAACCTAAGTATGTTTCAAACACCTTGAATATGTGAATCTACTTTTTCAGCTGTACATCTCTGTCCAAATTTTGATTGAGGCTGAAATGTAGCTTCCAAACTGATATGTGATATGGGTGTAATATACCCACTGGGTTCTGAAGACTTTGTATAAGAGATAGTGTAAAATATCTTATTCATATCTTTCTGATTATAATATTCTAGATATACTAGGTTAAATAACATTAAAATTAACCTCACCTGTCTGCATTTTTGACCTGTGGACTGAGCGCTGCGGACAGCTTCTCCCAGCAGGGGCTCCGACTGCAAGAGCTCTCCAGACTGGGTGCAAGGAACCCTCTCTGGGAAGTGGTGCCCTGGACCCTAACCCCGGGCCCTGGGTGGACA